TTTTAATAAAACTTGGAACAGTAATATTTTTCTTCATATTCAGTGATACAAAAGCTTTAAGCCCTTAGGAGCAATGATCCAAACTATTACTTCAAAAATTAAATAAGTATTTATACTTAAGCAATCTTACCATGACAAGTTTAGTACTTTCTATGATCACCATAGGAAAGCCAGGTTCTCACCTAGTCTAGTCTCTTCACTACTAATATTTAATATGTATATATTATACTAGCTATGTGCTCAATTTAATCTGGCTTCTTCTATCATGTTCCTTAAAATGATTCTAGCCTCTTTTTACTATCTAACTCCAAACACATGTTGCAATATTTGTTGCAGTAACACCCTTTACTGATACCAAGATTTCTATTAATTTTCTGTTATTGCTGTGGAAAATTGCCACAAATTTAATGGCTTATAAAAGACAAAATAGTTTATTATACAATACAGTCTTATGGTTCTGTGGGAATCAGAAATCTGAAATGCATTTCAGTGAACTAAAATTGAGGTGTCAGCATGGTTTATTTCCCTTGGCCAGCAGTTCTCAACCCATGGGTTTCAACAATTTGGGGGCCATATGACCCTTTCATAGGGGTCACCTAAGGCCACCAGAAAACATAGATATTTGCATTATGATTCATAACAGCAGCAAAATTACAGTTACAATGTAGCAATAAAAATAATTTTATGGTTGGGGCTCACCACAACATGAAGAAGTTTATTAAAGTGCCCCAACATTAGGAAGGTTGAGAATCACTGTTCCAGACACTCTAAAAGTAGGATCCATTTCCAGACACATTTTAACATTCACTGATCACCACTTTTTCTATTTCTTCAATAGTTTGTAATGATTATTTTTTTCTTACTCAGGGAAAAGGAAAAGTTGATCAACGAAGATGCTCAGACCTCAAGCTCTTCATGCCGGTTAGTTTTTTAGTAATGAATGTGTCTATAATATCTCATATTTTGTTTTCCATTATTTAATTTTTGTATTTAGTTGTAAGGAATTTTATATTTCATCTAAACTTTTAAAACAGTCTGAAACTTTTATCTTTCATTTCTCCTGTCACATATATTATTTTGTTGTGTTCATACATGTTTTAGCTTTAATTTACTATCTAAAATATAGTTACCTCTTTTATTTATTTTCCTTTAAATTTTAAAATTCAAAATCCCTGACATCACAAATATTATTAAGATGGTTACCCATTTAAGACATGGCATAGTGGTAAAGTACTTGCTATATAAACCTGACAAAGCAAGTTCTAATTCCCAGAAAATGTAAAACCTGGATGCTGTAGCAGAGAAATTTGTAATCTAGTAGTTTTGTTTGGATATTATTCAAAGAACAGATAATACCGATACTCTCAAATTATTTCACAAAATAGAACCAGAAAGAATATTGCCAGATTCTTTTATAAGGCCATAGTCACTCTGATACCCAAACCAAACAAAGACTCAACAAAGAATTATATACCAACATCCCTCAGGAATATTGACAAAAATATTCAATAAAATACTCATGTACAACCTAAGAACACATCAAAATGATCATCTACATTGACAAAATATCCTTCATTCCAGATTGCAGGGATAGTTCAACATATGAAAATTTGCCAATGTAATCTATTTTAAAAACAAACTTAAAGAAAAAAGACATTATCACCTCATTAGAAGCTTTAAAAGCCTTTGACAAAAATCCAACACTCCTTTATGATAAAAGTCTTGGAGACATCTGGAATACAAGTAACATACATAAACATAAAAAGACAATTTTGAACAAGCTATAGTTAACATCAAATTAAATGGAGAGAAACTCAAAGTAATTCTATTAACATCAGGAACAAGACAAGGCTTCCACTCTCTCTCTCTCTCTCTCTCTCTCTACTTGAAGGCCTACCTAGAGCAATAAGACAACAAAAGGAGATCAAGTGGGAAAAAAACGGAAAGAAAGAAGTCAAACTTTCACTATTTTCACATGATATGATAGTCTACATATGTGACCTGAAAAACTCTACCAAGGAACTCCTACAGCTGACAAACACCTTCAGCAAAGTAGCAGGATACAATGAATAACAGAATAACTAAAAAAATCAGTGTCCCTCCTATATACAAATGATAAATCGGCTGAGAAAGAAATCAGAGAACAGGATCCTTCACAATCTCCATAGGTAATATAAAATGACTTGGTGTAGCTCTAACTAAGCAAGTGAAAGACCTATGTAACAAGAACTTAAGAACTTTTTAAGACAAAAAAATGGAGAAGATATCAGAATATGTAAAGAACTCCCATGTACATGAATCAGTAAGATTAACACAGCAAAAAAAAATGGCCTTATTACCAAAACTGATCTACAGCTTCAATGCAATTCCTATCAAAATCCCAACACATTCTTTACAGATTTTGAAAGAACAATACTTAATTTCATATTGAAATCCCCAAAACCTAGGATAGGTAAACCAATCCTGTACAATAAAAGAACTTCCAGAGGTATGACTATCCCTGAATTCAAGCTCTACTACAGAGGTATAGTAATAAAAAAACACATGGCATTGGCATAAAAACAGACAGGCACATCAATGAGATTGAATCAAAGATCCAGATATAAACCCACACACCTGTGGACAAATGATTTTCAACAGAGATGCCAAAATTGTACAATGGAAAAAAAAGAAAGAACCCTTACCAAACAGTGTTGTTCTAATGGATGCCTACAGGTAAAAGAATGCAATTAGATCCTTGTCTTTCACCCTGCACAAAACTCAAGTCCAAGTGGATTAAAGACCTCGACATAAACTCATATATACTGAACTGGATAGAAAAGAAAGTGGGAAAAGACCTTGAATGCATTGGCACAGGAGACAACTCATGTGTCTCCTAAACACCAATAGCACAGACACTATTATCCACACTTCATAAGTGGGACCTTGAGAAACTGAAAAGCTTCTGTAAGACAAAGGACACTGTCAACAGGACAAAATGGCTGCCTACAGAATGGTAAAAGATTTTCACCAACTCCACATCTAACAGAGGGAAGATTTTCAAAATACAAAAAGGACTCAAGAAACTAGACATTAAAAAAATTCAATTCAATTATGGGATACAGATATAAACAGAGAATTGTCAACAGAGGTGTCTCAAATGGATAAGAAGCACATAAGGAAATATTGAAAATCCTTAGCCATCAGGGAAACACAAATCAAAATGACCCTGGGATTCCATCACACCTATCAGGATGGCTCAGATCAAAAACACTAATGACAGCTTTCTCAATTGGATGAACAATTCGCAATCAAACCACTGACAATGTAGGATACAATTGTTTTTCTTCCTGATTAGTACTCATACTGCACAAGTTATGTTTTAGTCGTTATTCTTGCACTGTGGCTTACATTTGGGTTTTCCTGTTAACAAATGAGGGAAGTCCATTTTTCAGCAGTCTTTGAATGATTTTTTTTCTTTTTTAAAATAGATTTATCTATTTTTAATTTCATTTTACATTCCAACCACAGTTTTCCCTCCTACAAGTCCTCCTAGCCCCGTGCATCCTCTCCATCCCACCCCTCATATACTCCTCCCAACTTGTAAGGTCATGAGGAGTCAACACAGTCTGAGACATTAAGTTTGGGCAGGATGAAGCTCTTTCCTCTTCCAATAAGGCTGAGCATGGCATCCCACCATAGGGAATGGGCTCCAACAAGCTAGCTCATGCAGCAGGGGATAGATTCTGGTCCTACTGCAAGGGACTCCTCAGATAGTACAAGCTTCACAACTGACTTTCATATATGGAGAGCCTAGTTTGGTCCCATGGATGTGCCACAGCTGTTGGTCTATTGTTCATGAGTTTCCACAACCTTGGTTCAGCTGTCTCTGTAGATTTCTCCATCATGATATTGACATCCCTTGCTCATATATTCTCTCCTCCCACTCTTTGACTGGATTCCTGGCACTTGGCCTGGTACTTGGTTGAGGATCTCTACATCTGGTTCCATCGACTACTGGATGAAGGCTCTATGATTATAGTTGGGGTATTCACCAATCTGATTACAGAGGAAAGCCAGTTCAGGCATCTTCTCCATTCTCTACACTTTTATCTGAGGTCATTGTTGTGGATTCCTGGAAATTTCCCTAGCACCAGTTTTCTCCCTAACCCCAGGG